GGGGGGAATTACGAATGACTCTCTAGAGTGGTTACACAGCCCAGTCTCCCCACCTGAAACTGTCCCAACCGAGGAAGTAAGTCACTCCGTGAGATCATCATTTGAGAACATTGAACAGTCCAACAACTCAGAACTCATGTCTGATTCTACTCCGTCTGAAAAGAATCCCGAGGTTAGTATTTCCCCCACTCCTGATGATTGCATTGACAAATTGTTGGGAAAAATATTATAGATTTTGATGATGATGTATTTAGATTGTAATAGGGACTTTAGGTCTTCCCCAATATTCAATGTAATTTTTCTTTTTAGAAATATTGTTAAAACCGAGTTCTTGAGATTTCCAATAAAATTGTGATATTTCTCTAAGTGGTTTGATGCTTGAAGACTTAATCAAATTCAGTGATATGTAAATTGGATATCTTGATCGGAAATGTCAGAGGCAAGTAAGGATTTCTCAAAGCAAATGAAAATCCTCTAATCCGGAACACTACATGATAACCGGATGTCTCGCTACAACCCGCTGAAGGCTAAGTCATTCAAATCGGAATACTAGCGGGGATCTCTTTCTCACCCGGAAGTCTGTGGATGACTCTTCCGGATTTGTCAGCAAAGAACCGGATGCCTCAGAAAGACCAGAACTCTCATAAGCGGACAAGTGAGAAAAGACTTAGAAAATTATCTAAGTCTTGAATGAAGAAATTCTACCCGTTCGTAAGGAAAAATCAATCTCTTGATTTTCAACGACTAGATTGAAGATAATTAAGCTGATTCAAGAACAGATGACTTGAAGACAAAGTCTGGATCTCTCAAATTAAAGAGCTCGTCCAGAATTCCCAAACAAGCACTAGAAGACAAACTGAGTAAGAGCTACAGTCCAGAATTCTTGAACAACAATTAGAAGACGGATTTTGTGGAAAAAGGAATCCCTCAAACAATTGGGTATGTCCAAACACCCATTCCAATGAGGAATCCTCAATCACAATCTTCATTCAAAATTGAAGCCAGCAAATGCAACAGATAGTCTATTTTGATTCAACGGATAGATTATCTAATCCAGCTATAAATCACAACCTTGGAGGACTGGAGAAACTACGAAGACAACAATAACAAGGACATAGAAAAGAAATGTCTAACAACAAAGCTATCTCATTCACAGTTAGCCTAAAAAGCTTGATAAAGAGAGAATTCTAAACTCCTTATCCAGAAGCAAACTTCTCCTCCTTGCAAAGAGCTATAGTGTAAACACTTGAAGGTTTCCTTGCCTCAAGTACCACACCACGTTGAAGGATATAACTTTTAATCAAACTTCTTGATTAAAAGGGGGTACGTCAACTTTCTTACAAGTTGATCTTGCAAGTCCTATTGTTTGGATCTTGCAGTTGTTGAAAAAGTGTGACCTTTGAAGGAGCAACAAAGCCAGCACGAGTGCAGTAGCAACATTGGCCTTGCGAAGATATACCGTGCAGAAATTCACACAAGTGTAATTGTTGGTTCATTATTCAACAACCAACTACATAGTGGATTTTGAGGACGTAGAAGGATTACCCCACCTTTGAACCTCGTTAAAGTTTGCGTGTCTCTCTCTTTTATCTTTACTCTTACTTGCAATTATATTAACTGTGAAAACTAACCCATCCATATTGATAACTGCTCACTTTATCCACCAAATTTCGCACACAATCTAAAGTTCATAAGAACTCTAGATTAGCACTCATTTTCAAGTTTTCAAAAGAAACGAAAAAGTTTTTAAATTTGTAACAAAGTCTATTCACCCCCCCTCTAGACTTTGTATCTCACCACTTTGGGACCACCACAAATCTAATGATACCGTGGAAGAATTGAATATATCAAATAGATATGTTCTCCCACCACGGAAGTATTGGGGAATTCCTCATGTCAGATATGAACCAGAATACATACCTTGGAACTCAAGATATCATGTTGCTGATCTAGTCGGGGGGAGTGTATCACAGCCACTTCACACCTCCAGCCATGAAGTCCCTAGAATAGTAGACAAAGCCATACGAATACCAGAATGGAGAAAAGTAATGGAGGAGGAGATGCAGGCACTAGAGAAAAACAATACATGGGAGAAATGTCAACTCTGCCTAGGAAAGAAACCAGTCGGATGTCGATGGGTATTTACGGCCAAACTCAAAGCAGATGGTATAATCGAGAGATATAAGGCCAGATTGGTAGCTAAAGGATATACTCAAACTTATGGTATTGACTACTCTGAGACTTTCTCACCAGTAGCCAAAATTCATACTATCTGAGTATTATTCTCCGTAGCAGCTAATCTAGATTGGCCCTTATATCAGTTTGATGTGAAAAATGCTTTTCTCCATGGAGAGCTAAAAGATGAGGTGTACATGGAAGCACCACCTGGGTTCTCGTCGGATTTCAGAGAAGGCGAAGGTTGTAGATTGTGTAAAGCTTTATATGGTCTCAAGCAATCTCCACGCGCATGGTTTGGAAGATTTACGATAGCCATGAAGAAATAAGGATATTGTCAAAGAAACTCTGATCATACCTTGTTTCTAAAAAGACGAGGCAAGCTCATAACATGTTTAATCATCTATGTGGATGACATGATAATTACTTGAAGTGACATAGAAGAGATGGCTATACTGAAAGGCAAGCTATTCAAGGAATTCGACATGAAAGATCTTGGAGAACTTAATTTTTTCCTTGGCATTGAAGTTCTCAAATCTCAAGAGGAGATCTTTATTTGTCAAAAGAAGTATATCCTTGATCTTTTAGTTGAAACTGGATTAATGGATTGCAAACCGGCTGTCACTCCGATGATGGTTAACCACAGACTTCAAATTAGCGAGGGAGGAATACAAGTTGATCAAGATAAGTACCGAAGACTTGTAGGCAGACTTATATACCTGGCACTTACAAGACCTGATATTGCATATGCTGTCGGAGTGGTAAGTCAATTCATGCACAAACCACAGAAGGAACACTGGATGCGGCTATCCGAATTGTGAGATATCTTAAGGGGACCATTAATCTGGGAGTTACATTTAAAAAACATGGTCACTTAGATATTCAAGCTTACACAGATGCTGACTGGGCAGGAAATCCAAACGATCGAAGATCCACTTCAGGGTATTTCACCTTTGTTAGAGGTAATCTGGTCACATGGAAAAGCAAGAAACAAAAGGTAGTTGCTCTATCAAGTGCAGAAGCATAATTCAGAGGTATCGCTCGAGGAATTACCGAAGTCCTTTGGTTAAGAAAACTCCTTAAAGATTTAGGGTACCCACCGAAGGGAAAGTGTAGACTGATGTGCGATAATACCACTGCTATCCGTATATCAGAGAATCCAGTACAACATGATCGTACCAAGCATATCGAGATTGATCGTCACTTTATCAAAGAAAAACTCGAGGCAAATATCATCAGTCTTCCATATGTCCGATCTGAAGATCAGTTGGCAGACATTTTAACAAAAGCAGTACCGGCTAGAGCGCAACATTAAGCAAGTTAAATCTCCGGAACGGATGATTCAACTTGAGGGGGAGTGTTAGAAATGTCAAACAAAGGAATAGTGTCAAACAAAGGAATTGATTTTAATATCTTGATAATATCCTTGATTGGAATCAAATCACCAATCAAGATATTTGATTAGGTTCCAATCACTTTCCTTAATTGTCCTCTTTATGTAATTTGTAATATTTATAGACACCAAGTGTGATGTATTCAAATGAAGATGAATATTATGTTGTGAATTCATTCTAATATTTCTAATAGAACTAACACTAAAGCTAGGTATAAAACAACGATTCACCTCGAAATTTGACGAGTTAAACCTTGGATTGAAAAAGAAGGTCAACGCTGCAATTCCTCAATCTTTCCGGCTCAGACGTGCAATAAAGGGAAGGAGACTAGGATGGAGGTTGACGGAGAGGACTCAACGGCGTCTCTGGTCGATGTCCTTGGTTGGCGTCACAGTGGCGAACGGAACAACACGAGAAAGAGGCAGCTCCGGTGTTACGCGATAAGGGATGGGTTCCTAACCTCCCTAGACATGTTTCATATATAATTAAATATATTTAGGGTCCAATTTACACTTCTTAACCAATTAGGATATGTTTAACCTGATTCGTCAATCGTATCTTGGACCCGATAAGTCCGATTCATAGGATAAACCCTCATATTAAATATGCAAAATGGAAAATAACCTTTGTATTGACCAACTCAATAATTAATTAATTATATTAATTAATTAAAAATACTAAGTTGGGTTTCAAGGCATTACATTTCTCTCCTTCTTAAAATAAATTCGTCCTCGAAATTACCTGAGTCATTGTCTTCGAAAAGATAAGGCTACTGAACTCTCTTAGACTCCTCAGTCTCTCACGTGGCTTCCTCCACGACATGGTTACGCCATAGGACTTTGATTAGAGGCACCCTCTCATTGCTCAACTCCTTCACTTCCCGTGCTAGAATCTGCACAGGCTCCTCCTCATATGTCAAGTTGTCGTCCAGAGTCACCGCACCTTCTGTGGGTCGGATCTAATCGATATTGTCGGAGCATTAAGACGTGAAACACATTGTGAATTTTACTCAGTTCGGGTGATATTGGAAAGAGTGGGTGTTGCCTTATAATTAAGGATATCTACGTGGAAGAATAACGCAAAGTGGAAGTCTAGTAGTAAAAGCAGTGTTGTATATTATAGGGAAAACGTAATGTGTATGGAATTATGTATTAATACACCAAATGTGCTCACAGTGTACTTCAAGGCATAGGTAAGAGTGTTCCCCCATCAACATCTATTTAGCCAAGGAATGCTCTCATTTAACAATACTAATTATCAATACAATGACTATGATTCATATGCCATGCTTATGTATGTATGTATGTATGTATGTATGTATGTATGTATGTATGTATGTATGTATGTATGTATGTATGTATGTATGTATGTATGTATGTATGTATGTATGTATGTATGTATGTATGTATGTATGTATGTATGTATGTATGTATGTATGTATGTATGTATGTA